AGGATATTTGAATTCAGTGGGGTCAAACCTACAAACCATGCTGATGTTAAGTTTAAAATGCTAACCGGGTCCATATGATAAGTTCAATGCTTTTCTGTTGTCCAAAATAATGTTTTGTACATCTGTAGGTACCGAAGATGCCACAGCTGTCGTCCACATTACACATAGTGCCTTCGACGTTTGACAATGTATTTGAAACAAATTAAGAACAAGCACGTTGGTGCATGAAATGAGACGCTATCAGCGTCACTAACACGATGAAGATGTGGTTACATGCGTCACACTCGCTCATCTGGTTTCTGCGCCATTGGCAACGTAGGTCACTTACCTTCGATGACCCCACGTGACCTTGCATCTCTTCTCAGATTTTTGTGACCACATTATGCATCAGAGTGATATCACAACATAATTTAAGCGGCGTATTCGAATTATTCATCTAATATCACCTTTTAAAACTCCCTATTTTGTGCTCAACAAGTATCTACAGAAAGTGCCTGTGGAGATACGTCATGACCCGTACCACGGTCATGTGTGCTGTGGAAATATGATGGGTGCGCACGTGAGTATTCCTCCTTATATACATACACCAAAGCTACGCAACATACTACGAATTTGCATCAATTCCAAAATATAGTAAAAATTTGTCCGATTTTAGATCACCGACTTTGGATGTTACAAGCAATCATGAAATTTGCAGACTGTAGGTACCATCATGTTCCATTTCTACAAGTGTGAGCAATGACAAATGACCCAAAACAAAATTATGTGTGGTTGAAGTGTTTAAAGATTGGCCCTTTGATCTGACCTGAGGTCCCTAATGTTAATAGACCAGAACTCCAATCAGCACATAGCATGCCAAACCGATAGACCAACAGGTACTGCAAATTCACTGTTGCTGCAAGCGTTCGTTATTTACCTGTGCGCGAAAAACAGTCGAACTGGAAGTCAACTTCCCCCCCCCCGTCGCGCGCGGATTAAGCGGCGTGCCATGTCCCACCACATGTAGGTCGCACCCTTGTGGGCGTCGCCATCAGCGGTGGTGACACCATGGGGCATGGGGATGCGTCACCCACAATTTACAGAACGTGAGTAATAGTAGTCTGCATTCTCAGACCCGAAACTGTCAAGGGCATGACCACACGCTCTGGTGAAGCAATCACACGCGCAAAATGTTACAACCCCCGAGGTATTGAACGTAATTATTACAACACTCCAGAAATATCAGAACAAATGAATCACGCGTCAGCCTTTTCAATATGAAGGTCCTCGTACTGTGTATGTTGGAGCTCACGCTCGCCACTTCGGCTGCTGAACCTCATTGCCACGCTTCTCGACAAACTGTCTGCAGGGGTGAAATATTGCATGTCTTTTTGGGGTCATGTCCACCCCTAAACCATGACATCGACCTCTGACAGCACAAAATCAGTGGCATGAGTCCAGCAAAACTCAAACCATTTCACTCTTGCAGCCCAATTTTCAAAATTTCTGTCCTTTAATTGACTCCGCTATTGTAAGTCTAGTGAAAGTGACTTGGTGATGAGATGATGACCGTATAGTGGCAAAGCAGCGTGCATGCTGAAATTCGGAATGGTTTTGGCAAAATCGTTGATCTGAAATGCTTGTCTCCAACTTGGTGTGCTATATCATAGCCGCACCGTGGCAGAATCAGGGGAAGGAGAGCGCCATTCCCGGGCGATGGTCCACAACGTTTGGGACCATTTAGACCAGACTCAGGCCTTTGTATTGCCATCCAAATATTGCCATAGTTGCTGGGACCGAGACTTTCCAACTGGGCCCCTTGAACAGAAGGGACGCTCTCATTGAACTAATGGACCCCCCGACCATGTAAGTCGCGATCACAGGGCCTTGTTCCCCCCCCCAGCGTTCATCGTTCACCCAGAGTTTGAATCCGTGCTTGGTTTTATCGACACAGTAGAGGGCCCCAACCCTACAGCCATACACCAGATGCACAGCTGTTACGGGCCTGGGCTTATGTGTATAGAAGCATGCTCCTATTTCATGAAGAGCTTGGTCTGAAGACCAAGTATAACATCTGTGTCACGTTGAAGTAAAGGCCACATTTTTGGCCCTTGCTTTAGTGCCGGCCATATCCTCAGTAGCCTTTATAGCTGTAACCGTGGTAACCGCCGTAGCCGCCATAACCACCGTAGCCGCCGTGCCGTCCATAGCCGCCATAACCACCATAGCCGCCGTAACCGCCGTAGCCACCCTAACGACCGTACCGCCGTAACCGCCGTAGCCGCCATAACCACCGTAACCACCGTAACCGCCGTAACCGCCGTAGCCGCCATAACCACCGTATCCGCTGTAACCGCCGTAGCCGCCGTAACCACCGTAGCCGCCGTAACCACCGTAGCCGCCATAACCGCCGTACCCGCCGTATCCGCCGTAACCGCCGTATTTGTAAAGACCGCGGCCGCCGTAACCGCCGTATCCCTTGTAGCCGCCATAGCCGCCGTATCCTCCGTAGCCGCCATAGCCGCCGTAGCCGCCGTATCCACCAAAGCCGCCGTGCCAACGCCAC